CTGTCTCTGATCTTTTATCTGCACCTCCCAGGGGCTTAGCCTCACATACTTTGTTCCAAATTCCCAGTCGAATACTTTTTTCTCTTAAATGGTGCAGAGGGGTTGAGAAGAGTTTGTAAAATACTAAGCAGATAATAAATTGCCTTTCTTCCTCTTTTTTTTTTTTTTCTTCTTAGACACTGGAAAAGTCCACAGAAAGAAGAACACAAGAATTCTGTGAAGAATGAAGCAAATGAAGTAAATTTTACAAAAGATGCCCAGTGTTTAAAAGTGGATGTTTAAAAGTGGACTTGTCCTGAAAAAGTATTAATCCAAAGCTATATCCTTGTTAGTTCAATTAGGAAACAGTCTCAAAATACAGTCTAAAAAAGTGGCTAATTGAATTTGAGGCCAAATTGCTCATCTTGCTGTGCTAAGATAGCACACGTGAAAAGCACTGCATTCTGTCCTCTGAGAAGGAACAATTGTCCCTGTGTGTAGTAAGATAAGGCTCCTTCAGGTGGTGCGTTGGCCACTAACTAAAATTAGTTAGACCCTCCTATTTTAATTAGAATTCTGGATTTTTTTGGACTGAGGCCTTTTCAAATTTTTCTCCAAGTCTGAATATAGAAGATGGTTCCCTGTGGCATGAGTCGGATCTGTTTATTTAGCAAGCAAAACACCTGATCTTTTGGAATATTTCTCTTGCCATTGGGAAGTGGCCCAGGAGTTAACTAGAGAAATGCGACTTGGAGAGAGGGACAGAGAATGGGGCTGATAAAGTCCTAAGCTTTGGCCCGACTCTTGGCTTGCATCATGACAAAGTTATAAGCAAAACATACAAAGTTCAGATCCATTAATTCTTTAATAGATTTTCATATTTTATTGCTTAATCTCTGTTCCTTTTTTCCTTTGTCTTAATATTATATTTTTACATGTTCTCCAAAAACAAACCAACAATCCTCAGCCGACACAGAATTTGGTGCAGAAAGAAAACAATACTATGATTTTATTATCACATTTTTTCAGATTATTTTCATCAATTTGAAATCGTTTCCTATCTGATGGCTGCTATTGAGATTTGGGCTCATCTCAGTCATGCCTCAATCATACTTGAAGCATGAAAAAACTTTCATTTCTGGCTTAGATGTGTTAAAAATTCAAATTTTGTGTCACGTGAACTGCAAACCTTAAACAAAAATTGTTTTTCTTAAGTATCAAAAAAGTTACCGGGTTATATGCAGAAGCAGTGCTTATAAACCATTGAGTGCAAGAAAGAGAATCCTTGATTGTTGTCACCATATGAAGTGCCAGGAGGGTTGTTACCATTGTTTTTTTAACAACGAATCAAGAGTGAGTGAGCAATTATTTATGGACTAGATCTCATATCTTCTGAATGCTTTTCTGTGTATTATAAAATGATTAAGAAGTCAGATATGTTGGAGGTTATTGCTGGGAACCCAAACTGTGAAAGTGTGTGGGTAAATGAACACATGCCTATAAAGCCCCACCTGTGTGTCTGTCATGCAGTGTGTTTTGGAAGGTGAACATTCAAGGAAGGTATTGGAACATGTCAGAGTAGAAATAGTTCCAGATGCACCAGAATGTCATCCCTCTATTGGAGAAAGATACTGTGACTAAATAATGAAGGACAAATGTTGTGATTGACTACATCAGGCTTGGAATGGATTCTAACAATAAAACAATGTATGATTGGTCACTGGTATCCCCCTTTATTGCTAATTCATTGATTTTTCTGGATTTGGGTTTTAATCAAGGGTGCATAAACGTAAAAGATTGAGCAAGTCCATGCATGGCTTGGGAACTCTGCTTCTAAAGATTTGCTATATATATAATATATATATATAAATATATATCAATGATGCTTTGCCTTTAAATTTTATTTATGAGCTGTAAATATATGTGTGGATGTGTACAGGAGTGTGTACATATTGGAAAGGTCATTGTGGCTACCTGCATTTATAGATTTGTAGACGTGTGGTGCTAACTTTATACGTGTCTGATTAGTGAACCAACTCACTCTTATAAAATAATACAATGAAATGGGCTTAAAAAAAAGGAAAGAAACTGAATTAACTATGTGAAGAAATGGAATCTGCTTTTAATAAAATTGACAAAATTTTATTACCACACTCAGTCATTATGTTGTATCATTTTAGCCCCTGAGAAAAAGTAAATTTATTCTTAGGGCAGATTCATTCAGCAAATTTCAACTGAGCAACCACTATACTTAGTAAGATAGCTTCTAAGAATTACAGTGCACATTTTTGAACATCTATTTGTACATAAGCTGTAGATATCCTTTAAATTAAATGTAGAGGAAAAGGATGCAGAATTTTTTCCTGAATAAAGTACGAAGGCTTTTCTTGCCTGCAGTATGCATTATCATAAGAAAAGCGTTAGATTCATATAAAATATCTTTGATCGCTTTCTAAGATGCAGTGTATCTACTTCTGAGGTCTCATTGTTAGCTACGATGCAAGCAGTACTTGTGCAATAAGATGAATTATTTGAGATGGGTGGGTGCATTTTTTTAGGACTTTGCATTGGGTCACCTTAATCATTAAAAAAAAAAAAAAAGTAGCATTAAAGTCCATCCATGGAACTATGCTTCTTTGTAAAGTGAGGAAGAATTTGGCCCAGAAAAATAGTTGTTTCCCCAGCTACTAACCCAAACTCTTATTGTTAGCCAGGATAGGGTCTTCGGGAGCAGGAGTCCTCCCTGATAGATAGCAGGAACTCCCCAGTTGACACTCTGCTACTGTCCATCATTGCCTGTTGATATAATCAAAAAGGACAATTACAAGGTCGCTGAGCATGTTGAGGCTGTGTGATAGGATTATAAAATGGTGTGGCCACTCAGGGAACATGGGGCAGCTTTTTGAAAAGTTATGCAGAGGGTTTATTCTGTATGACCAGCAATCCTGCTGCTAAATATAAATCCAAGAGAAATGGAAACAGGGCCACAACGATCACTACACCAATGTTCATAGCAGCATTATTCCTAGGAGCCTCAACATGAAGAATCCAAATGCCCATTGAGTAGTGAAGAGATTTGGGTGACACATTCATACAGTGGAAGAGTATTTGGAATAAAGTGAACAAATTGCTTGCATACACTCCAACACGGATGTACCTTGAAACTTTTTTGCTATGGGAGAGAGAAGTCAGATGCCAAAGACGACATATTTTTGGGCTACATGACATTTCTAGAAAAGGCAAACTTGCAGAGACCAATAGAGGAGTGGTTGCCCAAGGCTGGGAGTTGGAACAACTGACCACAAGTGGACTCGAGGGATCTTTGGGGAGTGATAAGAATTAGATGGCAGTGATGTTTGCATGACTGTAAATTGACTAAAAATTATTAGATGGTACATTTTCACGTGCAGCAGGTGAATGTTATGACATGTAAAGTGTATCTACATAAGGAAGGCTCTTAAAAATGCAAACACAAACAGGGCTGGGTATGGTGGTACACACCTGTAAATCCAGGAACTTGAGAGGCTGAGGCAGGAGGATCACAAGTTTGAGTTCAGTGTCAGGAACTTAGAGAGACTCTGTCTCAAAATAAAAAATAAAAATAAAAAAGGCTGGGGATGTAGCCCAGTGGCAAAGTGCTGCTGGATTTAATTCCTAGTACCAAAAAATCAAAACGAAACAAAACACACACAATGCAACCACATAGTCCTGTGGGGATAGACACAGCCAAGGGCTGCAGCACCCTCTTCCCCTCAACAAGGGGTCTCTGCAGGGATTGTCCACCACCCTCTCACTCGAGGCTCACCTATCCCAGGTGTCCAGTTTACTATAAGTGAGAGCTGTCGTAATCTTACTCTATTTAAAATGTCACTCAGATTGTAAGCCCATTTATGAGGCATTTCTCTTATTGTAGAAAGGTAATTAAATTACACAGATAATATTCCTCTGAATCTCCCTGGGAATGTTCCGTGATCGTCAGAACATCAACAAACATTTTTAGAAATGGCAGCATTAGTATAAATCACCTAATAGGACACTTTTAGTTGGTATAAGCTCAGAGAAGCTAAGTGACTCGCCTGATATTGCACAGCGACTTAATAACACACACGAAACTGCAGTGATCTTTTCTAATTGATAATTCAGTGAGTCCTACTTGGTTTATACCATCCGGCCTCTCAAACACATTACATACTATTTGCCTTGTTATGAGTTTGCTTCATATACAAAAGCAACAGAATAAATTTACCATTAGAAGTGATTCAGCCTCCTACCAAGATAGAATGAATCTACCTCAATCTCATCCCCCCCTCCATGACTAGTGACCCAGTGTGTGTGGGGTTGAGGGTACTGACTGGGTACTGACTGGCTCATCCCATCTCAGGTCTTTGTTTTGCTCTGTGTCCTAGACAGATGGACTCCTCTGTGGGTCCTGCATGGGTGTAGAGCAAGCGGGGTGGAATAGTGACCAGCTGCCACACCGTCTCGACCACCCTGCCTCCTGGTGCTCACACCTGTGTGCCTTCCCCACATGGATCCATGTGGCCGATGTATGTGGCCGAAGCCTCAGTATCTCGTTCCCAAAGTTAGGCTCTGAAGGCCTGCAGCTTTCTGTGGGTTACTCTCTCAGGGTCTCTGTCCTAGGTCACTCCCTTGGATGGAGTCACCATGCGAGTGGCTCTAGGGTGCAGAACTGGAGCCCCTGAGCTCGCTCCAGCCACACGAGGGAGCTTGAGGTAGAGGGAAGGCCTTATCAATGGCTCAGGTGCATCCTCAGGAGAGACCCTGACCCTTCAGAAACACCAAGATTCATGACCCACAAAAACTGGGAAATGATAAACGATGATGTTCTCACCTGCCAAATTTTGGGGCCAGACAGTCAGACAGTTACAGCACTTGGTTTGCTTTACCTGACAGATTCTGAGTCCTTCATTAAACACGTAGAAAACCATACCTTGAAATGACAAATGACATCAGAGACAGGAACTTTTGAGTGGATGACAGAAAATAAAACCAAAATTGAGTTCTGGTGAGCACGATACCGGCAGGGCTTTAATTGGGCTTCGGCTGAAGGGACACAGTGATGCAAAGGGGCACCGGGTTGCTTCCTGAACAAAGGGAGGTACAAGCTTGTATGGATTTGCTGGGGCGGTTAGAGTTATAATTTCCACTGGCCGGGGGAACGATTCCAAAAGTTGTTCTTCTTGCACAAGGCTGAGAACGGGGCGGTCACCATCAGCTTGTCTTCCTGGAGTGGGCACCGGCATCTTCTCCATATGTGTGTGCACAGGTTCTTTCTGGGCCTTAGGATAGAACTGGAGGACTCTGGGTGCTTGGATTGCTGAGGAATATGCTTAGCAGCTGGCCACCAACAGTCTACACGCAGGACTGGGTAGACTCTAACACAAAACTTAAGGCAAAAGGGATCGGACATAATATGAAAACAGAGGTTCCAATCCAGACATCTGTGGGCCCAAGGGAAGAGTCAGTTCAGCAAAAGCAACTTTCATGTCCCGGAAAAGTAACCCAGGCAACCGTTATTATCACCATAACCCACACATCAGGTAAGCAATGCAATCTGCAAAAAAAAAAAAGAACAACAAATAACAACAACAACAAAACCCCCGTAACACTCCAAAATCAAATAACCCCATTAATAAATGGACAAGTGAACTGAACACACACTTCCGCAAAGAAGAAATACAAATGGTCAACAAATACATGAAGAGATGTCCAACATCATTAGCAGCTAGGGAAATGCAAATCCAAACTACATTGAGGTTTCAGCTCACTCCAGTCAGAATGGCAACTACCAAGAATATGAACAAGGTTGGCAGTCTAGCCCAGGTGTAGAGTGCTTTTCTTGGGTTCAGTCCCCTGCACTGCAACAACAACAACAACAACAGGTGACTAAGCAAATCACAGCAGGTGCCCCCTGCCTGGTCTCGGGTGGGGTGGACTCTGGCACTGATCTCAAGTCCTCTGAGGATGCAGAATAGCTCAATGTTGGTTTGGTTTCACAGCCGGAACCTTCTTTCCTTAAAGTACTGTGTGTTATATTTTTTGTTGTTATTGTTTTGTTTTTCATGTGGTGCTGGGGATGGAACCCAGGGCCTTGCACATGCTCAGTATGTGCCTTAGCAAGGAGCGACACCCCCAGCCCTGGCTTGTATATTTGTTTTCCCTGCTCACCTCAATCTAAAACAAACATGATTTTATGGCTGTGGGTTTAGCTCAGTGGTAGAGGGCTTGTTTAGCATGTGCAAGGCCCTAGGTTCGTTCCCTAGCACAGCAAAAAATAAACTATACAAAATAAACAAAAATCTGTAATGACTTCTTAAGATGATGACTTCATTGTCTCTAATGCTCTAGACCTGGCTTCTGTTTTGTTCAATGGGGAAAGACTTTGGGAACTCAGATTTCTAGAGCATAGTGACACCATCCAACAAGTTTTCTTAGCAGCACTTCAACCTACCAACGACCCATCCGACAGCACCCAGTCCACACCCAGTGAATGTAAGCAGCCCAGGGTTCATGCCTGGATGTTCTCATGGCCACTCTGCAAACTTCTTGGGAAGTTCAGGTCTGGGATTCTGAAATTTGGTTGAAGCTTATAAAGCATCCTCAAACAGGCCTTCAACAGAAACAAACAAAAAAACCTTTGCAATTAACTTTCAGTCTCATCAGAGAATAGGTTGTAATAGACCTGGATTCGAATGCTGCCCTCCAGAGATAACAGTTGGCTCAGTCTTTGGAAAGGCTTTTGAGTCGTGCCGCTGAAGTTCTTTACTGGGTCTCCACATCTCAGCAAAGGTCATCTGCCCATCGCCTTTAAGGAAGTGTTAGGGGCTGGGGGTGGTGTCCATGAGCCCACGTTTGCAGCCAGGAGGAGAGTCTAGGTATTTGTCACTGTGTGCAGAGTCAGCAGAGGGCACAGTGAGCATCATCCCAGGTTCATCAAAGTCCCCTTCCTAAAAATTGGAACAAATCCAAGAGGTTAAAGTGAAAATAGAAGCCAATATTTGAAGATAAACTAGAAAAAAAAAATCCTAGATTTAGAAATGCTGAGAGAAGTAAGACAGTTTATTTCCACGTATTTCTCCTGGGATCCTGCCGCTTTCTACTAAGGAAACCTAATAGGTGGGACTGTGCTATTTCCATGTCTTTCCGCTTCACTTAGTGCAGTGTCTAACTGTCCACATGCCCAAACTCTTAGTGGCACGGAATTTATTGATTCTTTTCCTGGGCCCTTTTTAGGCCAGGACCTTGATGGATTGAAAAAGTAACAAATAGACAAAGTCATTCAATTTTATAAAAAGATAAAGTTGCTCAAAAGCACTATACAGTAGGCAAGCGTAACTTATGCAGGAAAAAAACCAAAAACTCCAAAAAACCCTGAAGTGTGTTTATGAAGGGTGATTTTTGAGCTACCAAGTTACCAACATGTTGATAGCCTTATGTCTTTTTCACCTGACCTGACAGGTGATACCAGTTCATCATTTTTCTGAATGATCATTGGAGTCTGGGCTCAAATCAATTACCAAATTTTGAATCCAGCAAATCCAGTGAAAATACCTGATACATAACGGGAAAGAAAAAGTAGTACCTTCTCCTCTTCCATCACAAGGTTTACGGCTGAGACACCTGTCACAGAAGACGATCCGCACAAGAAAAGCCTGCCCATTTATTTAAGGCTTTATCTGACATGGGAGTCTTCACAACGAAGACCCAAAGCAATGGGACAATGCACATTCTCATGCGTAGGCTCCATGAGTGTGGACAGTCATAGACAAGTGAGGTTGGACGGAGGTTGGTGCCACTGGAACAGACTGGAGGGAACTCAGCAGGGCCCGTGTGCTCTGATCCTCCTTGCTTTATTGGCCTCTCTGAGGACAAGGAGGTCCCTTTCCTCCAGGTCTAGTGAGGACACCTCTGGAGTGAGGGTCTTATGGCCCACTTCAGGGAGAAGTCGGCTGTGTGTATGGGTCAGGGGAGAAGGTCAGAGAATTCTTTCAAAGTTTTGAAAAGACTGGTTTCTTATTTCTGTTTCTGCTGTTTTCTCAAAAGTCAAGGTGTTCCTTGTTTAGGGGATAGTGAGTCCCAGATAGTGTCATACTCCTCCCTCAAAAAAAGAAAAAAACACTAGAGAAAGAAAGGAAGAAGGCAAAATAAAAAAAAAAAAACATGGAAAGGAAGGAAAAATGTTGGTCGCATAGTTGGATAAGTCTATTCTATTCTGCATTGACAAAACCTCCTTGGCATTTAGCCTTTGGAATTTAAAATATCTATTGGAGATTTTATAGGCACAGTTACTTAGTTTTAGATTCCAAATGTGGGCCAAACAAGTCATTTTCATGCATTTAAACACCAAGGACTAGTTAAGAGAATGTGATGTGTGCTTTGGCAAAGACACACCTGGATTTAAATAAAGTGCACATCACCCGGTACTTGTGCAATTTATTTAATCTCCCTTTTAGTCTTCTCATTCATAAAATCAAAGTTCAGAAAGAATGAAAGACTATTATGAAGCACATCTAACATCCTACTCAAGGAGACTGAAATTTGTTTACCAGAGGTTTATTAACAAATTTTATACCATAGACTCTGCCCACTTCCCACCAAAAAAAAAAAGTCTTTATAGACCCAATTTCTAATCAAAATGAAGTAATCCTTACCTAACAAGGAAACAATAGAAAGAAACAGACAGAACCTGTGAAACAATGGGGTTTTTTTCAAGACTGGAGTTTAGCCAACAAAGGACTGTGATCCTTGAGAGAAAGGAAGCACACGGAAGCCCTGCCATTGTCTAGGTTAGTATCCAGGGAGTTTCCAGCTGCAGGGAATGCCAGGGAGCCCTGGTGCAGCCCAGCAGGATGAGATGGAAACAGGGCAAAGGGGCCAGGGAGGTACAGCAGGTCGAGCTACCTAAAAGGAGTAGCAGAAAAGATACCTTTGCCTCACACAGACCTAAAACCGTGTCTTTTTTCTCTCTGACTAGAAAACCTCATGATTAATGGATTTCCAACAAAACATACAGCAAGCAGAACCTTACCTCAACAGTGCAACAATATTAGCTCTAAAGAAAATGCTGAAGAATATGTATAAGAATTTTAAGCACCTACACAGATAAAGCTCACAATATATCCAATAAGTTATAAGGAATGCAAAAAGCAGAAAAATATGACTCAGAACTAGGAAAAGAAATTGAATAATGACAAACCTAGAAATGTCACAGATGATATAAGTAGACATTTAAATCATCTTAATGACTGTTATATTGTAAGGGTCCGGCGAAGGTCGGAGGAAGAGACCACCAAGAGACCGACTCATGCAACAGCAAAAGGGGATTTATTGAGGATCCGATCCAGTGCGCTGGGGCTCCAGGCTCACTCAAGAAGGGAGAGCGGCCAAAAAGCCCCGAGCAGGGGTTGAGCAGTGCTTAAGTACACTTTTTGGGGAGGGCAGGAACTTTACATACGTCACGGTCCCCTTTAACAAATCATTATACACTGCGGGAAAATCAAACAACAATTCCTGAACATGATTAGTACATTCATTGTCGGGAACAGGTCGGGCGGGGGTGATAGGTCAATCCTAAGGAGGGGATACATTTAAACTGATTGGTTTGGGCCCTGAATGCCTACGTGCCAAGCTGCACAGCGTCCTAGGTTATTAAACAACTAAATGGTCAGGGGGAATATCTACTGGGCAGTCCCGGGAATTCTTAACAGCTACAGGAATTTCAGGTTTTGAGTGTAGCATAGGAACTTAACAATACCTGGTCCTTTACATTTTAACTCAGGCTTTGCAGCTTAGAAGCAGCTTTACAATGCCTGGTCCTTTACATTTTAACTCAGGCTTTGCAGCTTAGAAACTTTACCCTTTGAATATGAGAAAAAATTAAGCACATTAATTAGAAACATAGAATTTATTTTTAAAATGATCAGGCTTCTAGAGATAAAAATGTCTAAGATGGAAAGTAAAGTGGATGGAATTATTGGCAATCTAGGAATGATAAAATAATAGCTTAATGGCTGGGAGACCTATGACACAAAATGAAAAATGTGAGAATAAAAGTATAAGAAATTAAACAAATTATTAATGAATCATGAAACAATTTGAAGTGGCCTATTATATATGTAATCGAACAGAGGAGGCAATTTTGAAGTACAGAAAAAATACATAGCAAAAAAAAATGGTGGAAATATTTTAAAATCTGAAGGAAACTACAGCTCAGAGAAACCCAATGAAACCCAGGTACAAGAAAATTATACCATGGCACATCATAATTGAGGTGCTCAAGACAAGTGAGGAAGAAAATATAAAAGCAATAAGAGAAAGATAGAACAGAATTCATGTGAGCAACATCTCTAGTGCTCAAAGAAAAAGATACCACATGGAATTTTATACTCAGTGGAAAGAGCTCTGAAAAACCAAAGATGAAAAAAAAAAACTTTTTCAGACATACAGAAACTGAAACAATTCATCTTTTGTGGATACGCAAGACAAAAATTGTTAATGAAATGTTGAATGTCTCCTAAGGCCTCTAATGGCATAATGCAGACTGCTGGAAATGGTAACTGTGAAGGTCTGAATATGAATAGTGTTCCCCAAGGGTCCCTGTGTTAAAGGCCTGGTCTCCAAGGTGGTGCTGTTTGGAGGTGTTGAGGACCTTAGGGGGGGGGCCTTAGGTCATTGGAAGTGTGTCATCAAAAGATGATGTGAGACCCTGCCTCTTCCTCCCACCTCTTTCTTTGCCCTATTGGGGATTGAATCCAAGGGCTCTCCACCACTGAGTTACATCCCCAGTCCTTCTTATCTTTTTCTTTGAGACAGGGCCTTGTTAAATTTCCCTGACTGGCCTCAAACTTGTGATCCTCTGCCTTAGCCTGCTGAGTGACTGGGATCACAGGCATGTGCCACTGCTCCCAGCGTTTTTTTGTGGGGAGGGTACTGAGGATTGAATTCAGGGGCACTGGACCACTAAGCCACATTCCCAGCCCTATTTTATATTTCATTGAGAGACAGGGTCTCACTGAGTTGCTTAGTGCCTCACTTTTGCCGAGGCTGGCTTTGATCTCTCGATCCTCCTGCCTCAGCCTCCAGAGCCACGGGGATTACAAGCACGCACCGTAGCTCCCAGCTGCTCTCAGCGTTTTAATATATGTTTTCCTTTTTGCTTCCTGTCTTGTGATGTGAGCAGTTTGCTCTGCTCTATGCTTCCCTCCATTGCCATTGCCATCCGATGTCCTCCCCTATGTCTCATCAGCAAATGTTCCAAATATCTATTGTTACATAACGAATCGCCTCGATGCTTAGTTAAAACAATTTTTTATTATTATCTCTTTATTATTATTATTATTATCTCTCTTGGGACGTGGGGCTGACTAGACTGAGCTGTGCAATTCTCCACTGGGGTTTTCCATGTGGTGCCACCCGGATGCCTGCAGCAGTGGAAGTCTTCCAACCACTCACCTGCTGGGGGTCCAAGATGGCTCACTCATGGTTGATGGTGGGTGCTGCCTATTGGCTGGGAGCTCAGCTAGGCTTCTGACCAAAATTCCAACCACAGGATTTTTCCATGGAGTTTGGACTTCTTCCCTCACTGCTGTGTTCCAAAGGGAAATGACCCAAGAGGCAGAAAGCAGAAGCTATCAAGCCAGCTAAGGGCCACACCCCAAAAACGGCACAGCGTCATTGATGTCCTTATCATATTAGTAGAACCAACATCAAGGCCCACCCAGACTCAAAGGAGTGGGGAGATTAGATTCTAACTCTTGATAGGGTCGGCAAGGAAACACCGCAGAAGCACATGTGTAACAGGCAGTATTGTTGTGAGCATCTTTGGAAAATAGCATCTGTGGTAGCGTAGCTATGGAAACCAGTAAGGATAATGAGAGGACTGGAGTTGGAGGGGGAGAAAGTGGTCCAGATATTCAAGGAATGATCAGGAGAAAACTCAAAGGTCTAA